GACGCCCGCGGCGCGCGCCGGCGGGCCGGGGCCCTGCGCAGCCGGACGCGCGGACAGCTCCGGCTCCTGCACTCGCCGGACGCACGGACACGGCGCGGAGCCCTTCGGCACCGGGCCAGGACGAGCCCCCGCCCGCCAGCCCCACGCTGGGCCCCACGCTGGGCAAGCGTCTCAAAACACCCACTCACCCAGGAGCGGGGCGGAAAATTCCGACTGTTTGCCTGATTCCAGATAAAAACTATTAAAATTATTTTGCTAAACTTGCTTTGTCTTTTTAAAACTTTCCCCTTTCCCCTGGCCTTCCCACCTATTTTGCTTTGATCATTTTTAAAAGTCCTGAGCAATTTGGGAATTAAAAAAAAAAAAAACAACAAAAAAGCCAGCAGGTCTACCTAGGACTAGAGCAAGTGCTTTAACAGCAAGAAGTCATGTTTTTCTGCAGCTGATGTAAACGTTCGTTGATTCCCAACATTGAGAATTTTAGAAATAACGGGGCTAATTCCCTTAAGTCTTACATCTTGTTTTAGACTTCTACTGCAGGAGAGCAAAGCATACGCGGAATGGCACCGAGCACATACACACACAAACACACGCACAAGGAGGTCTGACCCACGAAGTCTTGGATCTGATTCAAGTATGAACAACTGCGGAGAATGGTAGAAAACTGGGTTGTTTGGATAGTTAATTTAACATCCTAAATTAAACTAAGGAGATTGTGTCTCGTTTGTATCAATGAGGTCAGGAATATATCCCCACATCTAAAGTGTAAACTGTAATAACTCTTTCAGGATAATTTTAAAATAACATTTTGGTTTTATTCCTATTTGTCTGCACTTAGATTAAATTTACTTGGCAGGTGAAAAATAGAAATTAGCTTAAAAAAAATCTGGAAATGACTGACCTTCATATCACTCTTTCTTAGTAGCCAGCTCTGGAGCTCATCTACACTTACTGGATTAGCTGCTTGTCCATAGCCACAGGAGTCCTCTGGGAATCTCCCTAGCGCAGGCACAGCTTACACAAGCAAAACAGCTCTTCTGCTAGGATAGTGCAATCCAGTTCCCCAAAGGGAGCAAGCTATGAAAGCAAAAGAACATTTTCCATATAACTACAGTCATCCTGGGGTTTCTGTTCACACACATCTGTTGGCAGGGTTTTGCACTTGTATCAAACGTGACTACGCCGACAAAAACGCTCGGTACAGAGGAAGCCTCTGAGCACGTCGGCGCTGCCCCCGGCGCTGCGGGTCCCCCGGCCGGTGCACGGGCTGCAGGGCCAGGGAAGGGCCCTGCGGATGACGGACCCGGAGCCTGCGGAATCACTCACCATCCCCGCTCACCAACACGGCCCGCGACCAGGCTCCGCGGGACAGGAGTCTTCCCCAACACAGAAAACCCATTTTCTACTCTTTCTGTGGCATGGTTATCCACATCTAATACTATTCAACAACAGAAGAGATTTCTTGTAAACTTTGTATTTGATTTTTGGGACAAATTAGATCTTCTGAATCCCAAAGTGTACATATATATACATATATATATATATATATTTATATATAGCTTTCTCCATAGGGAAAAGACATATATCAAAGAGGGAGAGACATTTCTAAAGTGCCCCTTGTTATACAGTACTGAACATGATTTCTAGGAGCATTAGAGTAAATCTGAAGTTTTGGTGCAGGAATGACAGGGGAGGGAAGGAGAGCTGTGGTTTGCTCTTTTCCCCAGGGAACAGAAGAGCATTTGCTGATTTTAAAAAACAAAGAAAATCAAAGAAACGTTTGCGCTTACCATGGAGAATGCAAGTGAGAACGAGGATGATCTGGGACATCTGCACCAGCTTACGGGCTGGCCGATTGGGATAAGCTTTTCCTCAGGTGAAGCATAACATTGATGAAGGGGTTCAGACATATCTAATTACCTAACTTCAAAGAGGAGAAAAAGTAGCAAAGAAAGAGACCTTATGCACAGATACTGCTAGTGACACTGTTACCTTTAAACCATAAAGGAAGCAAGAGAAGATGAAGGGGTCAGCAGGATCGCATGTCCACATAGTAAAGGCTGGTAAAAAATCCACCAAAAAACCTGTATCAAATCAAACGGGAACTCCTCTCGACCTCCTGCATATTTTACTGTGGGAAACACAGGCACGGTGCTCCATATGCTTTAGGAAACCCTCCGTGCCACTGCTCGTTACCCGTTACACCAAGCTACCGGCCAAAGGAGCTATGCAGGGGCCAAAAGAAAGTGAACTGCCCTGGAAACGGGGAGCAGGGAGGGCAGGACAGGCCTGCCCGCGCGTGGGCACCGGCACCGCCGCCGGCTGGGCCCGGCCGCCAGGAACGGGCTCCCCGGGGCTGCTCCCGCAGGGATGCGGAGCGCCAGGGCCGAGGAGGCCGCTCCTCCTTCCCCGGGGCTGCTCCCGCAGGGATGCGGAGCACCAAGGCCGGGGAGGCCGCTCCTCCTTCCCCGGGGCTGCTCCTGCAGGGATGCGCAGCACCAAGGCCGGGGAGGCAGCTCCTCCTTCCCTTCCCTTCCCTTCCCTTCCCGCCGCGCGCGCTCAGGGCCTGCAGAACCGGACGGGATCGTTGGCCAGGCTCCCCCTCGCGCACCGACAGAGCCTCCTCGAGAAAGCACCCGCGTGTATGAAAGGGACGCTGCACCCCTGGGGATCCTGCTTTCCCTTGTAACGTTAACAGGGCACTGGAAATGAGAAACAACAATCCATGTAAACGTGGCTTAAAGACAAGAATTAGCTCCCTTAAAGGCTTGCCCGTTCTGCAGAAACTGCTAGCAACATGGTCAAGAGCTTATTGCACTAATGAGAAAGGAAGTGTCACCTCCTGAGCAACGCAGGCCTCCACAAACATCGAATTAATGCCATTCTCAGCCATGACTACTCAGAAGGCAAAATCATACCCGATCTGTGCTTGCAGCAATTCCTGCCTCCAGCACAGTTCCACCCAGAACGTGGACAGTCTAGAACTGGCAAGTGTTTTTTTAGTTACGCTCCTGCCCCTGTTTACAGCAGTCCATAATGAGGCAAAACTCCTGCTGCAGTCAGCAGGCATCGTGGACACACACAGACTACAGGTTCGGGTTTCCCACAGAAGGTAGTGAGCACGAAGGAGATCGAGACAGGCAGCCCAGCACAGGTGGTCCCCATCTTACCTCCTCCTCCAAACTGGTCTCACTGACAAACTGTGACTGCTCAGATGCTAGCAGGGACCATCATCCTCTTATCCTGCCTCAAGGAAAATGTCCGCTGGCTACAGCAAGAATTTTGTCTGCGTTAACACTGCAGTCTTTGAAGAGGAAGATGAAAAAGAAACCATTAACAGCAGTACCACATGCAGAACGGTGCAAGGAACACGAGCAAGATCATTAGCAGCAGCACTACACACGTAACAGTGCAAGGAACAGAATATTCAGTCAACAATGAAACATGTCCTGAGCAACCTCCCAGGCAGGCTGGCGAAGACCAGCAAGGACAAATCACATCCCTCGTCTCCTAACTCGTGGCGGGAGGATCTCACCTAACCATAGGATGGAACAGGACCGTTACACAGGAGCCTGGGTTGTTCTTTGGTGCACGTCTCACTGTGGTCTGTAAGACAAACTGCCAGGTTATTCAGATCCCACGGAACACAATGCTATCCTATAAAAGTCTAGATTTGCTTTTTTTTTCCTCCCAAAGAAAGAAGACTGTCAAAATGGCTTGCACTTTAGAGCATATCACATGCACATTTATCCTTTCTCTAAGCCACCAACTATACCACAATAAAACATGCTCAATTAAGGAACATAGAAAAGAAACCCTCTCAGCAGATCAACTTAATTTCTGTTGGGTTTGCTGTCCCAAGTTCTGTTCTCAGACCCAATAAATATGCTGCAAGTTGCTAGTTCAAAATAATTGCCCCACTCAAAACAAAAACCTGGGAATTTGGGATTGGCATGAAGAATCCTAAAACTGGGAGTGCTTGAACAGAATTTTGCAAAATGAGTTATTGCATTAGCAAAATCAAATCAAACCAGAACAAACAAACAAAACCCAAATCCCACCAAAGACAAAATGTCAACCATTAAAATAATAGAAAACATGTATTTCTTGACATAGCTATAAACATGAAGTCATTTATGAAACTGCAACAAATGAAGTCCAGTTGTGTATTCTTTTTCCTTTTATTAGACAGGACAGAATTTCCTTAAAATGCCATAACAAGTCACAGTGATCTTAGATTTTTTTTGAAATGTTATATATTGAAATAGGGAAATACCTTTAACATGGTTTACCTTTTTTTTTTTTTTTGTCACTGTATATGTACCCTGGTCCACCAAACCGTGTATCTTAATGTTTCTTGTTTAGAGAGGACACTCTGTCTTCTTCCTCCAAAAATGAATATTGTCTAATTATCCTGCAAAATAATCAACCTTACCAAAGGCCTTCCTCAAATGTTATATTTATATATATATGTATATACATATATATACACACACATACACACATATATATAAATATAGACTTCTATGATTTTTTCTCCATTCTACGCAACATCTCAATAAAGAGATTAGCAACTTTTATTCTACAAAGAAGCAACACATAAAAGGGGAAAATTAAAGTCTTAAGAACATCATATCCATATTTCACTGATTACACATAAAAGGAAAAAAAATCACCATGAACAACTGTCTTTAAAGTTTTCTCTGATTAGCAAAACAAGTGCAGAGAGGCCCCGTTCCTCGTGAGCCCGAGCAGGGTGGTGAGCGGGCGGCGGGGGCAGCCCCCGGGGCTCCCCACCCCGGTTCTTGCCGTTCTCGGTTTTCTGCACTTCTCCCCCTTGGAATCGGACGTGGTTGGAATGTATGGAGTTTGGGAAAGGCTCCCGCGCGCGCTGGCGGCCGCGCTGCCCCTAGGCCAGCTTCAGCGTGCTCACGGGGAACGACGGCATGGTTACCATAGTCACCGGGTTTAGCACTGTCTGCCCAACTAACTGCGGGTGATGCACGACCTGGGTTCCTACGGCAGGTTTGGCCATCACCGCCGGCTGGCCCAGACTCGTGGTTCCGTTCACTTGCTGGTGAGAAATCGTGTGAGCGATGTGGCTCACGACGGGCTGGCTGACGGCCACGGGCTGCGGGTAGAGGGGCAGCTGCTGGCCCAGGTGAGCCATGTGGTTGATGGTGGCTGGGTGCACAGTGATGTGGCCGATGGGCTGAGCAGCAGTGGTGAGTTGCACAGGGCTGGACGTGGAAGGTGCAATGTGAGCAATGTGCTTGGTCTGTGGACCCTGAATCACGTGGTTGACAGTCTGGATGACCGAGGCGTGGGTAGTGGCGGTGTGGGCAATAACAGTCGATTGCACTGTGGAAGCCGCCACGATATGAGTCTGTGCTGGGACAATCGCCTGCGGCTGGACCAGTGCTTGTGTCTGCATGGGAGGCTGTGCGTGGGCGGGGGGCTGTTTCTGCTGTATAGAGAGGTGCTGAGGCAAAACTGCTGGGTGATGTGAAGTAGCATTTGGAGGGACGGCTTTCAGCAGCTCTGGGTGCTGACGCTGTGTTAATTTTGGTAATGAGTTCACTGGCCTGTCATCTTCCATGTCTTCATCAATGTTGTCTTCACCCTCTGGAAAAAAAATGAAAGGAAGAGACTCCCATAAAAAAGAAAGCAGAGCATGACCTGGACTAAGCAGCCTTATGTGAAGGGCAGCAGAGAAGCAGCGGGCGAAGCTGCAGAAGACTCTTGCCAAGGTAGGCTCAGCCCTGGAGCGGGAAGCTGTGCTTCCAGGTAGGAATCCCCAGCGGCCCGGAGGCAGGGGCAGCAGCGAGAGGCGCAAGGCCCCGAGCCTGGGCAGAGCTACGTTGGCAGCACTGCGCCCTTGTCTGCGGGCTAAACCCCATCCGGGCTGAGGAGCGCTCCCTCTGTAAGGAGGAATGGGGTTTATTTTCCTGTTCGGTTGTTCTATTAATTGGCATCACCCTTTCTGCTCCTGGAGCAGAAGGAAATGCTGAGGGAGGAACACGGCAGCAAGTTCCTCAGTCTGGTTCTGGAGCAAGGGAGCTCTGCCCAGTCTGCGAGACAGGGAGGCAAGGCAGGATTATGCCTGGCCTAAGGAGACCTGGATTACGAATGCTGCCTGCTCTGAAGCCAGCCAAGCAGCAGAGATCAGAGATCTTAGAAGACAAGGGAGCAGCAGGAAGATGAGGAAGATGCTTCCCTTAGCAAGCCCCGTGTTTAGCAGCAGTCTGAAGGGATCGTTTCCAGGAGATGCCAGCTGGAGAGCTGAATGGCTGACACTCCTATTTACAAGCGCTCCTACTTGAACTGCCATCGGCCTACGCTCAGAGTCTGTTTGTGAGTACGTTCAAAGGCGACAGCCCAACACAAACAGCTGAATGGAAATAGGAAAATCAGGTTTTCCCCCCCTGGCACCTGCTTTATCACCTGCCTGGAGTGGCAAGAGCACAACTTTGTGTTTGGAGGAACTGCTGCAAACAGTTACCCAATGCTGCACCCTTCCAGTCTCTGCAAAGCAAAGCACTGCACATCCATGGACTGCCTGTTCTCCTGGCTGCTGGTGACTAGCAAGGTGAAGAGCGAACATTGTAGTATCTCACAAAAACTTCTCAATGGGATGAGCATGCACGAAAATCACTTCCTTCCATTAGTATCATTTAATCTTCACTCTGAATCCTTTCCAGGCAATGTGAAGCCTCATTAAGCTGTTCAAACGCTCTGGTGACCCTTTCCGTACCAATTCCTGCTTTACATGGCTGAACATCCTCCTAACTCCATGCACAAATACATCAAGATGCCAAGCAGCTCGAGCAAGCCGTGATGCGTATCTGCATGAGAGGAAAACTGGCTTCGTGTTTCAACAGGTCTATCAGCAGGCTGGATGTGCAACAGAGCACATGCAACACTGTCCCTGCAGGATTCTCACTGTACTTTACAAAGGTGGGGATATATTAAGTCAATATCAGTGATTCAGTAGAAGATTTCCAAGTGTCTTCTAATTCTGAAGCCTTTGGCCTGATTTCTAGACGTGCTCCCTAACCCTCACTCCCATTTGTAGGCTTCTAGAAACACGCTGCAAAAATTTTACTCTGAAAATCAGACATAAGAAGGTGAATTTGATCACCTGTGACCTGACGAATTTCAGTCAGAGAGTGATTTTAAAAATGAGTTATAGAGCTTGTCTGGCTCTGCCATTGCTTTCAAGTCTGATTCTGATTTACACTTCTAAACACAGGTTTTAGAGCTATTCTCAAAAGTTAGCTTTTTAAGATTACCTACCTGATCACGCACATGAATAAAATCTTCAATTTCTTCCAGGAGACGCTAGAAATATCTTGTGCACTTTTACTTAACCTAAAACTGGACATCAGGACTAACCCACACATGTCCTTCTGCAACCTGCAGCATTCAGCTCGTCCAAAATCGTATCTGAATCTGCCAGAATCTGAAAAAGTGGCATTTTCTGTTTTGCTAGAAACCACGCCTTTTGCAATAACAGTGCAACTGTACCTTGTACTACTGAGGTGGGTACCCAGTGGTGGAAGCGCTATTAGTGATGCTATTGAAATGGTTGAGGAAGAGTATTTTAATTAGAACGGACCAGACTAATACAGATTTATTTTTAAGCAAATGCAATATATCTGTCCTCAGCTTCTGGTATGAACCAAAAAAAAGTCATGGTGCTAAATGAAGATTCCCCCCCACCACGCTATCATGATATAACTGTCTCTGTGGTGTACAGTGATGATTACAACATGAACAGAGAGGCCTGGGGTACCTGATGCTGTCGAGGTAGATGCTTGGTCATCCTCTGGCTGAACTGTCTGCCGAATAATCCTGTCAATCTCCAAGACGTCCATCCACTGGCTCAGCTCGTTCTTCAGTTCCGCCAGCCGCTGCTGGGTTGCAATCTTCTCTCTCGCTAGCCGCTCCATTTCATGCTCATATTCTTTTTCTTTTCTCTTTAAAGTCTAAAGATGGAAGGAAGAAAAAGTACTTAAGAAGAGCAAAGGCAAGTATAACCTACACAGACCTGGTCACTTCCAAATCCATGAGTGGCCTTTTTTTATTGCCAGTTCATAGTTCTGCCTTTCAAATTTGGAAAAAAAGAGGCGAGGACACGAGTGGACCATGAAACCCGAAGGCTGCTGCGGGCAGCTGCTTCCTGCCTCCCGCGGGACCGCGGAGCCGCGCAGAGCACGGGCACCGCTGCAGCCCCACGGCTTGGAGGGCCAGGACGGCGCGAGCAGCAGCTGCACGCAGCCAAGGGAGGGCAGCAGGCGAGGAGAGGGCACGGGAGCAGCTGCCTCTGCGTCGCCACGCCAGAGAACACGGGGCAACGGCCTGACGCTGTCCAAACGGTGCGGCTACAGCGTCCTAACTGCGTACGGGGGATCATGGATTCAAAGGAAGGGGAGCAGCTGTATGGAGAATAGCACTGCAGAGCAAGGGAACTGGTCACCTGGGCCCGAGAAAGGTAAAAAATACCCCACATCCTTGAAATGAAACAGAAATTCTCTATGGAAAATTGCCTTTATGCAGGACGATAAAACCACAAACATAGGTGTATTTCAAAGATAAGCTGTTTAGGAATAGATAGTATCTTGTAGTAAACCAAAAGATAATAGCTGGGGAAGAGAGACAAGATTTTGGCACACAATCCCAAACAGGTCTGCGCAAAACCATAGCTTGTTTCCTTAACCTCAGGTTGGTCAGCCCATAAATCACGAAGAGAAAGGACCTTTCCTTGTGAACATGGTCAGAAGGAAAGAAAAAACGCAACAGGATCTAATTAAGTTTCTGAGCAACACACACCACAGCGAGAGCTCTCAAGCAGGAGATGGCCAAGCGCCAACAGCGCCGTGCGCCCCAGGGGAACGGCGAGGCCCAAGGAGGAAGAGGAGCCCACGCCAACCTGTGCCGCCCAGCAGCAGGGGAAGGCACCGCTGCCTAGTTCTTCAGCGGGGAGCACAGGGAAAGGAGATGGACGGGGCCAGTCTCCGGGCTGCAGAGACACCCAGCGCAGCTGATCCCCACAGCAGGTCAAGCCGACCGTGAAGCAGAGTAACACAGAGCAAAGAGCCCTTCCTCCAGCCAGGCCAGTCCCGGCACAGCCCTGCTCGTTCGGCAGGGCGTCCCTCCACACGCATTCTCCAGTTCTCCACGGGAACTACGCTTAAAGGAGAGAGCAGAGGAATACACCCTCCCAAGCAGCACAAGGAGGAACCCATACCTTGCACACCTCAAGCATGCTCAGTGCACTGCATCTCCCTCCCTGCTGCGAGGCTCAAGGTTCAGGTGTGGACAGGGTGGCTGCCGGGCCCGCAGTCAGTGACCAGCGCTCAATGGCAGAAGCGGGGAGCACCCTTGGCAAGCCCCAGAAGTCTGCTAGGAGCCGGGCTCCGGGAGCTCCTACCAGCGCCGAGTAACCTCATCCCGTATGCAGGCGGGAGCGCCACGGAGCGGGCCGCGTGGCACCGCGCCAAGGCCAGCCCTGGGCCGCGTGGCACCGCTCCAAGCATCGGGCTGCGTGGCAGCGCTCCAAGGCCAGCCCTGTGACCGCGGCCCTGGGACCGCGCAGGGCTCCACGTGTCACCCTGCCCTCCCTCTGCCGGGAGG